CATGTTGAGGAGGAGGACCACAAACACAAATTTACAAAGCTTAACGGACCAAGCGAGCGGCAAGGAGTCGTCGCATGATCTCACTTGAGATAATGCATTGGGGGAATGCATTGTGAGATCGAGTGGGGAAGCGACCCAAGGCAACACAAATGAAGGCACACTTGGAGTCGATATGGAGATCAGACTCAATGGAGGGCTGACCCGTGGAATGGTGGGCGCAAGAGCCACCATCAGCTCAATGCAAAACGAGGAGTGGAGCAACTTGGGTGTAACTTGGCGAAGTACTCAAGCCGCATGAAGGGAGCTGGCATAGAAGATGGAACATGGAGCGGAGGCACAGAGCTTTCCTTGGACAGAGGTCAAGGACATGAACTCTTGCAGAGACAAGAGCGGGATCATGTCGTTCCGTGGATTACTCATCTTGCATGGTGCCAAAGACGAAGGGAGCTTCTGGGCACATGCATCTTACCTCAGAGAAGTATTTGACGGAGGAACTGAGGCGACTCAACTTGCGGAGGCGAAGTTGGGTTTAGAAGACCTTGGCATGGGGCAAGAGGACGCGGAGGCGGGTACTCTTGAAGAATATGCCACAGTGTTGCCATTCAAGTTGCTATGAAGGGAGTGGTGCACAGCGGAGATTGTGTTGGTAGGGGCAGAGGCTTAGGATCCAGATAATGGTGCACAAATTTCAGCAAAGTCAATGGACTTCGGGAGGTACTAGGCGACGGACTGTCCTAGAGCGGTGTTTCATTTAGGTGTGACCTGAGGGCGGGTGAAGGAAGGTCGATTGCCAAAGGAGCGAACACAATCGAAGGTAGAAGAGGCCACGTTGTGTTGGCAGAGGCCACACATGGAGGGATCACAATCCGAGTTCATCCCACAAGGATTAGAATGTAATGAAGATGTCACCAGGAGACGACATGGTGCAGCGGATCGTGGTGGAATAGTTCGTGGCAATGCGATACACACGAATCTTGTCCCGTGAGGGATTATATCATACGGAGGTATGATCGGGAGCTACTGGGAGCTCCACTTTGGTGAACAACACGATGGAAAGAAGGGCTATGGATTTAAGGAGTATAAGCCATGATACCGTAGAGGCGGGTCTTCCTTCCGTGCGTGCATCAAATTTTGCATCGGATTAAAGCCTTGGTCATCAGCATATGGGGGCTGTGTACTACCGAGGGAAAAGTTCGAATGCAAGTACCAGTGAGTCCCATGGGAGGGGCTTGATCATGTAGCGATCGAAGCAGCTAGAGAGTTGGACTACTCTAGAGCATATTCGCTTACGGGAGCCTGACAAGTCAAAGGACAAGGCTGAGTAAGCGAACGTTGCTACCAAGGAAGCTAAAGAGAACAGAATCGGTGCGAACCCCGCAACATGATGGCAGAGGCCATACATGGGAGTTGCAATCTGTCTTTCCATCGACTAAGGGGAACTGCTTAGAGAACACGAAGGTGTTGAAACAGGGGGTCGAAAGGGGCGAGGAAGCGACGACGAGTCCAAAGGGACTTAGCTACCCAAAACAAAGCATCGGTTAGACTAGAGGTGGACTCGGAGGAGTGCTACATAGATATATCTACCGATCGTGAAGATAAGGATATAGATGTGAGGCGACGGATAGTAGGGCCATGGGCATGGCAACGCCTTGGTACAGCAGAGGCGGGACTTTCATGAAGTCATCGATCCCTTGCTCTCACGGAGGGAGAGCACTTGGTCGTGAAATGGGCTGAGGAGGTGGAGCATGCAGAGGCAAACTCAAGTATCGAGACAAGGCTGAAAGGCAGAGGCCAAGGAACTTCGTAAGACCGGTGTCATCGAGCTTTTTATCAAGATAGCCGAAAGTGAAGGACTTCGGGTCGTGCAAGAGTGCATGACCAAGGAACGAAATAAGCAGTATGCGGTGTTGTACCTTTGCTACTCAGTGGAGTAGGCGGCAGGGTTGATGGAGAAGACGGTACAATCCTAAAGGCGACCAAAGCTACAAGAGACTTGCTCCAAGTTGTGGTGAAAACTTCTTACATTCCAGAAGTTCGATGGCATTGAGAAGGTGAATCACAGTAATTAACTCAATGCAAGGAGTGCAAACATTTCAAGTACTAGAGAAGTGTGAGCAAAGAGCAGGCGAAGGCCAGTGACCAGCTCGATGCATGGAGTACAACATTCGAGGAGACAGCGAAGTCAAGTAACCTTTGCCTTCTCAACCCTTAAGAGAATGGGCGAAACCGAGTACCCAAATTTTCTTATCTATCCAGCAGAGGGGCTCTACAAATGTTCAAAGACCCTTCGAAGAAACTAAATGGAAGACAATAGTTGTGTAATTCACCAATGGTGATCAGTGCTACTGAGAGTAGATTACCCGCTTCATTTCCTAAGAGAATACTAATCGAAAGCGGAAGTGATGCGAACCTACTTAGAAGTGACAACTAAGTAAAAGAAGAGTCGATGGGCAAATTTTGTGGAGGAAGGATCCAAAAACTTCAAAAAGTTCAAGCAGCATGAGGTATTTAAGAGACAGGCGCATAGCAAGGATGGTTTTTTCCTTCATCTGAAGGATCTGCAGGAACCAATAGGGATCAACACAACTTAGCCAACCCCACATTAGAGCCAAGAGGCGCATTGCAGCTAGAGCAGAAGATTGAAGACTCGGCAAAGGCGAGGAGTTGTAGTGTCGGCAAAGGCTTCGACGAAGACGTCGAAGGAATAAGTCTGGGAGAATGTCACGGACAAAATTCTAAACAGGATGTTTGATGTAATGCTTATGTATGCCCGTGTCTTTTGGTATGTTCATACTTTGCACAGCATGTAGAGGGACGGTCGAAGGCTTAATAGCCCTATTTTAGTTGAGTTTGATGGTCGTTTTAGGCTTGTAAATAAATGTTATGTCATGTGGACACTTGTGAGAGATATTCAGTTTGTAGTGGACCATTTTGGATCATTTGTTATGCGACCGTTTAGAGCTTGTGAAGTGTGTTTGTAATTTACCTTGGTTATGAAGTATTTTCTGAAATGCTTGCTTGTGGATCCCGAGTAAGGCGCTTTCTCTAACCCGTTTTCTCTTTTGTAGGTCCTAAGGGACCATGGTAGGTTTCGGGGAGGTTGACCTTTGCGGACGGACACGTAAGGGTGCCGCACGACTTAGGCAAAACCACCGTGACAGTCCGCTACCGTCGATTGGGGTTGTTTCCGCCCCGTTATCGTCCTAAATTGGGCGGTGGTATTAACCGAGGTAGAAGAAAGAAGAGTATTAATTGAGGGAGAAGAAGAGGAGAACCTGAAGATCAACATCGCTCTCCCTCCTCGTTTGTCGGTGACTTCTCATCCACACGGGGAGAAGAAACGGTTTCTTTTCCCTACTTTTCCGCACAAGCAAAAAAGAGGCGACATCATAGAAAATAATTTTTTTTTCTTATATATGTATGTATATATACATATTTCTTCTCCCCACATGCCAAAACGGGTGATGAGGCAGTCACCCTTTTCTTTTTTCTTATATATATATATATATATATATATATATATAAAACGAGGCGACATTGCATTGGTTTTCTACTCGTGTGGGGAGAAGAAATCGTCACCCTTTTTTTTTTACTTATATATATATATATGCACACACACCAAGCGGTATACCGAAATGTACCGCTCGGTATATAGTATCGTACCGTATCGAGCGAATCTTGAGACTCCGGTATGATACGAAATTTCAATCCTTGGATAAGATAACTAATGGAAATATGTAGAGAGTTAAAAAATCACATATAAATTTATTGACTTTGAAAAAGCTTTTGATAGGCAGGTAGGGAGCTCCTAAAGATTTGTTATGATTCATCTAAAAAGAAAGGCAAAACTACTAATTGTATTGATGTTATGAAAAATGCATAATGGTGTAGTTACTAGTATTAAACCTGTAGAGAATGTATTTAGCAAATTTCCTATCATTATATCAATGATTAACTTTATGCCATTAACTTTTTATATTGGTAATGGAGGAACTTATTAGTCATGTATATAATAGACTTCCCTACTGTATGTTCTTTTGCTAACAATATCATTTTAGTAATGAAAGTTTAGATGAAATTAATATTAAATTTGAGTTTTGGAGATTGAACCTATCAAATGCAATATTAGTTATACTAAGAGAACAATTAATTATGTAGTTATAATCATTGAGCAAGAAGCTTTTGTAACCAAAGTATTTAGGTTTTTTGGAACTATTATTAACTTGGATGGAGAGATTCAAGAAGATATTGTTCATAAAGTAGAAGTGGATAATTAAAGTGAAAAGGAGCATCAAGAGTTGTGTGATCATAAGATGTCTCATGGTTTAAAAGAAAAATTTGATAAAACAATATCTAGTCTATCATGCTTTTTGGATCTAACTGCTGAACGGCTATGGGAAAAAAAAAATTTATATAGCTGAGATGAGAATGTCTAGTATAAGAAAAAATATAAAAATATTTTTTTTGTGAATAATAAGATATAGCTGCGATAAAACATAAAATGAGAGAAAGATCATTTAAGATAATATTGACTTGTTCAAAGAAGATATATAGATGCTATGGTTGCACAAGATGAGTTGATTGATATTACTAGTGTGAGTTGACATAGTGAGAGATGAAAAGATTTTAATAAAAATAATATAAATATATTTATCTGCTCTTTAATTGAATCAGAGATTTATGTAGCTGACCCCAAATAGTTTGGAACATGCTATTTAAATGCTCTTGTATAGAGCTCAATGGTGGGAAAGACATATGTAGCTGGCCTCAAATAGTTTGGAACATTATAGCTTGTTATTGTTGTTGGTGGTGATGGTATTCCTCGAGGATATTGTTGTGATGCTTCTGCATGAGACTATTCATAACACCTGGTGCAGGTGTGCAAATGAAACTTTAGTTCGTACTGCTTAGCTTAATGCAAATTTTGATGAGTTAGTCTTTATTCCAACCTACCTTGGAGAATTCTGTTTTTTTCTTTTTACCGAAATCTATGGTTACAGGGAGTTGAACAATTTCGATGTGCTATGGAACTTGCACCACACAATATATCTGCACACCTTGGGCTTGCTTCTGGGCTGCTTGATTGGTCAAAAGATTGCATTAAATCTGGAGCATTTGGTTGGGCAGCTGATCTCTTACAAGTGAGTTGTCAGGACTGTTTCAAAGCTTACCCCCTCTTAAGGCTTGAGTGCTTTATATGATTATATGTGCATGCTGGTGGACTATAGGAAGCATCAGAAGCTGCAAAAGTCAGTACCTGTTTGTCTGGAAATTTATATTCTGCTTGGAAGTTGCATGGGGACATCAAGGTATATGTCGTAATTAATAAATTTTATTGTTTTATGGGTTTTGTTTTTTATGTACTTTGCATCTTTAGACTTGTGCCTATTGAAACTCAAATGCTTAATATGAATGTACCATTTAGTTCCTTGTGTGATGGTAACTGCTTGTTGTAGTTTTTTGTGTTGGAAATATGAATGTACCATTTAGTTTTTGCATTGTTTAGTTATCAAGGGGCTCAATGTTCCTAGGATTATTTATGTCTAAGGTTTTTATTCTTCTTCAGTTCTTCTATGCTTCTTCCCCTTCACATTAGCTCTTTGTCTTGTTCTTATGTTGTTTGACTTTTTTAAGCAGGAGTTACATGCGAACAGAATTGAAGCTCCACATTTTTGGTGCCTTATACTTGTCAAACTTCTATTAATGTTTGATAAGTTAAATTAGAACTTCAACGTAAACTCTTAATTAATTAAGACAATGAAATAAAAAAAGACAAAAATGAAATCAAAGTCTTATGGTCATCATGCTTGTTTGATATCTCTATTAATCATACACTATGACCTAATCTTTGAGGTGGAAACGCAGCAGAAATTAAATCCAAATAATAACTATTTCAAATTCACAAGAGATTTGCTCTCTTACCTTTCTATTGTCCAATAACACTAGCTTCTTTTTCCATAAGTGGGAACCATAAAGGCACTTGCCTTCTTGCAATAAGTTTCCCATTTCCCTCTTTTTTGTGCATCCATCAAGAGAGCAATAGTAAGCAAGGAGATCTATGCCCTTACATAATTTGCCAGCCCAATAATTAGCATACAGAAATCCCATGCTTGGCCAGCTTGATAGTTGTCAGTAGATCCATGTTATGAGGATTGTGCTTTTAGACATTGCCCTAACTTTTTAATGGGCACATAACTTTTTTCATCTTGACATCATACTACTATAGTATGTCCAAGTGGTATGTGCTGATTGGCAAAATCAGGGTTCACCTTATTGGTTCATATCGGTGTATCGAATAGTCAACGTATCGTTCTGCATCGATGTACCATTTGTTGGTACGGCAAGGCGTACTGATGGCATGGAAAAATGATCGAAAATAGTTCCAAAAATTCTTGCAAAATAAAAAAAAGTTAAATTAGGGTTTTTAAGATGGAAATAAATGTAAGTTTAGTATAATTGTAGCAAAACAATCTAAATTAGGAAAGAATAATAGTAGATATCTCTTTTAGGCTTTAAGGAGTAGCATCATGGTATGTTTTGCACTATCCTTTTGTTGATATTGAATTATTGACAAAGAAATGATTTGAATTGTTAGATTATTTGTTAAACAACTTAAACTTTAAGATTCAAATGAATCAAGTAATCGATCGATGGATATACTTGGTTCTACCATCAAAAGAATGACAGGACTCCATGAGCGGTGAGTCGGGGTTTTCGACCCTATATATCTGTATATCAATTTGATATATTTGTCGGACCTAATCCTAAAATTGATCTCATGACATAGTATATTGATACACTGTATGTCATTGGTGCATCAATGTGATGATGGTTATAATTTGATTATCGTGAACCACATATGTCCGAGACGGCTCTTGAGGCAAGTACGTTTGTGACATGTATTGTGACAAGTACGATATGTTACTTTGTATCATAAGATCGATCACCATACTATTGTTCGGAGAAGAATGACCAATTATCACGTCAAGCTCTATGATTTGAATCTTGGGTGGCATGTGTAAGATATTACTCCTCGGTCTATGCACCATCCTCAAATTATGTAGAGAGGGCCATCGACTCCTCGACATCGCCGCCATCATCAGTTGAGACATTACTGTTCACGTCGCTGTCATGTCTCCAGACCAAATGGATTGCTAAATGCGATTGAGAAGCTACATACTGTTAATTCTCCCTAATTAGCCTCCTATGCTTGATCCAATCCACAAATCGCAGCTTTGTGGAGTTCAAGAGAGTGCAAATGAGAGAAATATGTGAGTGAAAAAGTGATTGGGAGAGTAGATGAGTTAGGGCAAGTGCAAGGGGAGAGAATGAGGGGGTAGAAAGGGTTTAAGAACCTTTGATCTGGTTCAATTTATTAAATTGGTTGTGAAATGTTGCAGTTTTGTGGTATCATGTTATGTTAAGCTTCAATTTATCAAATGACTTATTTTTCACTATCTGGCATGTTAATACAGAACTCTGAAGTCTGAATTACGTTTTTATGCATTTTTTGTTGATATTAGATTGCATATGCAAAATGCTATCCATGGGGAACTGGAAGGATTGGATATGAAATAGATGAGGATCTCTTGAAATCTTCCATCATCAGCTGGAAAAAAACATGCTATTCAGCTGCAATTAGTGCTAAACACTCGTATCAGCGGGCTTTACACTTGGCTCCATGGCAGGCTAATATTTACACTGATATTGCAATCTCTGTTGATTTTATTGGCTATCTAGAAGAGAGAAACAACAATGATTTGGAAATTTGGTAAGCTATTTAAATAAAACTTTGGTTATCGCATCTTAATATAAGAATCGGGCTAAATTGATTCTGTATTTATTAGGCAGCTACCTGAGAGGATGGCCCTAGGTGGCTTGTTGCTTGAAGGAGTTAATAAGGAGTTCTGGGTTTTGTTGGGATGTCTGGCTAGCAGTGATGCTCTGAAGCAACATGCTTTGATTAGAGCGTTGCAGTTGGATGTGTCTCTTTCCTCATCATGGGCATATCTGGGAATGGTAATGATGAAAGCATTCATGTATTGCCAAGTCTTGAAACATAATAATCTGATTTTGTTAGTTTGCAGCTCTATAGAAACTCGGGAGAAAAGCAATTGGCATGTCAAGCATTTGATCGTGCAAGAAGCATAGATCCTTCTTTGGCATTACCATGGGCTGGCATGTCAGCTAGTTATCAGGATGGGTATATAATGAATATTTCTCAAGACCCAAATATCATGTTTCTTAGGCTTTTGACATTTAGCAAATTATTTCCATTGACAAATATTATCTTAGGCTTTGCTCGACAAATGAAGCTTTTGAAAGCTGTCTGTGGGCTGTGCAGACACTGCCTGTAAGTGCCTTTCTCTCCAATACTCTATTGCCTTTCTCTTTTCTGAGCACATTGAAGTTTTGCATGTGCAATTTAATCAAGGGTTTTCATAATGAAGTATTTATTTGATTTTGATTATTGATTTTGTTATAATTTCATAATTAATCGACAGACAAGCTCTGAAAAAATGAATTTCATTATAATGTATTTATGTGACTACTAAAAAACTGATTTTTTCTTGAAAAAATTGCGATTTTGAGATTTCTGTAGTTTGGTTTTTTAATTATATGTTGAAATAAATTACTTTACATTCAAAATAATCAAGCCACTGCAGATAGACTTCTTTATTTGTTGGTTATCCAGATATTTTACACACTTGCCATTTGAAAATTGAATATAATCACCACTTATACATTGTAATTCCACTTATTTGTAGGCTGTTGTTTTAGCTATATGGTTTCCTGATTGTGCTTATGATCTGGGTGCAGCTTGCAGAATTTCAAGTTGGTCTGAAATAAATTATTTACACTCAAAATAATCAAGCCACTGCAGATAGGCTTCTTTATTTGTTGGTTTTCCAGATATTTTACACAATTGTCATTTGAAAATTGAATATTATCACCTTTTGTACATTGTAATTCCACTTATTTGTAGGCTGTTGTTTTAGCTATATAGTTTCCTGATTGTGCTTATGATTTGGTTGCAGCTTGCTGAATTTCAAGTTGGTCTTTGTGCACTTGCAGTTCTTTCTGGTCATCTGTCATCCCCGCTGGTATTGACATTTTGGTTAATTATTGTGTTCGCTTATCTAAAGCCACAACTATTTGCCTTAACGGTTAAGGCTTAACCATGTTTGTTTCTTGACTTGCTGAAAGAGAAGCACAAATTGTTCAAGCATTTCAGCACACTAAAATATTGAGATATATATATATATATATATATATATATATATATATATATATATATATATATATTGTAATTTCTTATTAAAATGATTAAGGCATGCTGTGTGGTCATACTAGAATTTGCCAATTGTGAATGCCAAATAAGTGAATCTGTGATGATATTTTTTTTAAACAGATAGTGTCTAGCTTGAATGTAGTTTGGGTTGTGGATATCTAATTTGAACTTTTGTTCTCATCTAAGTTGACAGATTTGAGACACGAGATAGTCACATTTATAACCAGTTTTTGGTCACTGTTCTGTGGATGTTGACACTTGAGAAGGATTTTACGGCATCTGATTCGATATAGATTTGTCTACAGCCTATGCATCAGAGAAGAATTTTTTTCTTAATAATTTGATATTTTATTGCGTGTTATGGGTATGTCCAAGTGTGAAAGAATATAAATTTATAAGTTTCATAAACTAAAATGGTCCAGATTTAGTGTTATTAAATCAATTGGTTTATAGAATCCATTATTAGAGTTTGACATGAGGGTCAAGTTTGTAAGATCCGTAAGATCAGTATGTTATCGGCTAGTGATGACAAAATTAGAATTGATAGGACACATCGTAGTGGATTTTCATTAATAATTTGATAATTTATTGCATGTTATGGGTATGTCTGACTGTGAAAAGTTAGAATATAAATTTATAAATTTCATAAACCAAAATGTTCCAGATTTAGTGTTATCACATCCATTGGTTTATAGAATCCATTATTAGAGTTTGACATGATGGTCAAGTTCGTAAGATCAGTATGGTTTCGGCTAGTGATGACAAAATTAGAATTGATAGGACCCATCGTAGTGGATCTAAAGGATCATGATTGGCCTTGAATGGGGTGCCGGTTATGGACCCGGGTATATCAGAATCAGATGATACTGTAAACTCTCAATGTAGTCATAAATTCACGGAAAACATAATTTTAACCAGGTTGATGCAAGAAACTAAGGTAACACTGATTTTGAAGTTAGATAAGACTAGTTGTTCTATACTTGGTTAGGTGAGAAAAGATGTTAGTAACATTCATCAGTTGATGGATCACTTTGGTTTTTGTTTTTAACAGTTGTAGACTACATTGTCATTCCATATGTATATGCCTGTCATGTTTGTTAATTAGGTTTTCAGAATATCATGCATTTGATTTGCAGGTAATTGGAGCCATAGGGCAGGCCGTTCAAAGGGCTCCGTACTTACCCGAGTCCCATAATTTACATGGCTTAGTATGTGAATCACGGACTGATTATCAGTCTGCAATTGTTGCTTATCAGAAGGCACGATGTGCTTTGAGAATGTTTCCCAACTTCAAGAGTGATCTTCAATCTTCCTTCACTGATGTATCAGTTAACCTTGCTAGATCACTTTGTAAGGTAAATTATGTTTAGTTTTGGTTACATTGAATGCCTTTTCAATTTTATTTCCTTCCCTCCAACACCCAACTCCTCATGCCATCTCCATGTATACATATGCATCATTGATGGAGCATTTTTGCGTATCTTTATGCTCTCCACATTCTTTATTTTTTGCAGGCCGGACATGCAATTGATGCTGCACAAGAGTGTGAAAATTTGAAGAAAGAAGGTAAGGCCTTGAACTTATTTTCTACACATGTTCTAATGTGGGGAAATTTTTTTCTGCAAATTTCATGTGAATCATAGATATAAATAATGTGTCAATTTTACTTCTGGGGAAATAACTAGTAGCAGAGCAGGCTTTAATGATATTTACATGTACTTTTAATGTCATTAATATTTCAGGATTCCTTGATAGTAAGGGCTTGCAAATATATGCTGTTGCATTGTGGAAACTTGGACAATACAACTTAGCTCTTACTGTGGCGAGAAAGTTGGCTGAGAATGTCTCAACCATGAAACAGACATGTGCAGCTGCTTCCCTTGGGTTGATATGCACACTAATGTACAACATTTCAGGATATGACTCTGTAGTTAGAACAATTAGAAAATTTCCAAGTGAGTTTTTGCAAAATACAAGAATGAGTCTCATCGTCTGTGCATTAAATGCTTTAGACACAAATAAACAACTGCAGTCGCTTCTGCCAACCATTTCTCAAGCTGCTGCTTCTCATGGTATTGCCATTGAAATACATTCCATTACCGCTATTAACAAATTGGTAAGAGTATTCTTCTCTAGTCACAAGTCTCAGTATGTAGTTTTTTCTTCTCTGTACTCTTTTGAAGCAGGATAGTATAAATGTTCATTGTTGAGTTTAACTTTGCAGATAACTCAGGAGTCTCCTCAAACTGTAGCCATTGACAGGGGAGTAGATTACCTAAGAAAGGCCCTTCATATGTATCCTAACAGTCTTTTAATAAGGTAATGAGTGTTAGCATCCTATATCTGATCCTCCTCTTATGACAACAATTTCTACCAGTGCCCTAAAAGCTTTCATGAGAAATCCTATTGCTGTTTATGCAATCTTGGTTTTCTGTAATTATTAGTCTAACATGCTTTTATGTGGCTTAGCTTTTTGTGTTATGTATGACTTGTGCTGCTTTTTATTTACAAGTTCTGCATCCTTTCTGCATTGTCTAATTGTTGCACAATTCAAAATCTGTAACCAAGTAGATGATCCACCTGCTAGCCTTGAGTGCTTAAAGATGAAACCAAGAAATGCTATATTGAAGCTTGTCATATCAGAATTTGGAATAGATTCTAGCGTGGATAAAAGAAAATCACATGTAAAAACTGAATACACCAACTTGCAACTTTTATCAAGCTGAAAGTTTAAAAAGTTTGAATCTCTGGAACCTATAAAAGCAATAAGAAGACAGAGGGAAAAAATGATAGAACCCTTGCAGATTCTAAACTTAGGGTTGATCTCTTTAGGGGATCGGCCTCCTTGGAACTCTATAGGGGTTCCTCCCTCCAAGTTGCTGCTCAAAGGCTGCAGAAAAGATTCATCTATTGCTTAAGAAAAGAGGAGGAATACATGACTATTTATAGGGCTTCTAAACCCTAACTCCTAATAGGACTCCTACTTAAGTCTCTTACTTCTAACCAACTCCTAATAGGACTCCTACTCAAGACTCCTATTCCCTTACAACTCCTAATTCTTCTCTAAGAAAAAACCTCCTAACCCTAGCCGGCCTCTTCATCTCTTTAATAGGGGTCGGCTTAGGTAGGTTTTACATGAATGTCCCTCTCAATTAGGACTCTTCTAGCTAGAGTCCTAACAGACCCGCCCTCTTCAAATCAGCCTTGTCCTCAAGGCTGAGATTCCATGAACTCGGGGAACCGGGTCTTCAGCTCCTCATATGGTTCCCATGTGGCGTCTTCAAGTGGTAAATTATTCTAATGCACTAGTACTTCAGTAGAGGGACGTCGACGATGCATCACGATCCTGCGATCGAGGATGGCTTGTGGTTGAGCATGAATAACTCCATCCTCAGTGGTGTTGGGCAGTTGGATCTGGGGTGACTCATGTTCTCCCAATTTCAGCTTCAGGCATGACACGTGGAAGACATGATGAATTTTGGCATCCTCAGGTAATTTAAGTCTATACGCCATTGCTCCAATACGCTTTGTGATCTGATATGGCCCAAAAAATCGTGGAGATAGCTTCATGGAGGCTCGAGTGTTGATGGAGAGTTGCTTGTATGGTTGTAGGCGAAGATAAACCCAATCTCCTACTGAAAATTCTCTTTCGCTTCGTCGTGTGTCGGCTTGCTGCTTCATTCTGGCTTGAGTTGTAGAGAGATTATCTTTTAACAGTTGTAGGAGTTTGTCCCTATCAATCAATTCTTGTTCAACCTGATCTACCTTGGCCGAGCCAATTACATACTTTGGAATCACAAGGGTCGGTCGACCATACAATGCTTCATAAGGGGCACATTTTGTAGATGAATGATATGTAGTATTATACCACCATTTGGCCCAGGGAAGCCATTTTGCCCACTCTTTTGGTCGGTCGCTAGCGAAACACCGAAGGTACGTCTTTAAACACCTGTTTACCACCTCTATTTGGCCGTCAGTTTGTGGATGATACACTGTGCTCATCTTGAGTTTGGTGCCTTGTAACTGGAATAACTCGGTCCAAAATTTACTAGTGAAGATCCTATCACGATCACTTACAATGGACCTTGGCATCCCGTGCAGTTTAACAATATTTTCTATGAAAACTTGGGCAATACTAGCAGCAGTGTAGGGACTTCTCACAGTACAAAAATGAGCATATTTCGTAAGTCGATCAACCACCACGAGAATTGTGCTTTTACCTTTGGCAGGTGGCAGCCCTTCAATGAAGTCCATGGAGATGTCAGTCCACACCGAGTCCGGTATAGGTAGTAGTTGTAGTTTCCCTGGATTTGCCACAGTTTCACCCTTGTGCTGTTGACATACATCACATTGTGCCAT